CCACTAGCCACTTCTCAGGAGGAATATTGGGCAATCTACTTCCGTAGAGATACTGCCTTTGAAACCCAAGGATGGGTCTCTATGAGTCAGAAAACCCCTTTCAAGCTCAATTTATGAACGATCTTCAGTTAGATGATAATTATCCAGCATTTAACACCCTTTCATATTGAAGAAAATGTAATGCTACAATATTACAACCAGTACCAACTGAAAGGTTGGCTGCCTGAACCTACCCAGAGGCATCTAGGGAGAGCAGCGTGGTGATCTGCTTATAAAAAGTCATAGCCGTGAAACCTCTAGGGAGCACATTTCTACCCTGTAACACATGGGATCACGATGAGCCAGAATCGATTCGATGGCAACTGGTTGGTTTAAGTCAAAGGGTCATAGACTAAGATTTCTTGAAAGGCAAAAGCAGGATATCAGACGAAGAAAAAAGATACTTTGGCTGGTAAGTTAATTAACACATTCTGAAATACACAGACCGTGTAAGACCTATTTAAGGAACTCTGCTGGTGTAGTGGGTAAGGCATTTGGCTGCTAACCAGTAGGTTGGTGATTCAAACCCACCAGCTACTCTGTGGGAGGAAGATGAGGCAATCTACTTCTGTAAAGATGTACAGCCTTGGAAACCCAGTGCGGGTTGCTATTAGTTGGAATTGACCCAATGGCACTGGGCTTTTTTTTTTTTTTTGCATGAATTATTTACTCTAACATTAGATGAAGGAAGTCCTTCCTTCTAAATAGTTTTTCTTTTCTGCTTCCTTAGGGACAGTTTTAATTACCGGAACCACTCAACTGACCCAGAAAGACATCCTCTACAGATTACAATCATCCAAAGCCAAGTGCATTATTACAAATGATGTTTTAGCCCCAGCTGTAGATGCTATTGCACCTAAATGTGAAAATCTGCGCTCCAAGCTAATTGTATCTCAGAACCCCAGAGAGGGGTGGGTGAACCTCAAGGAGATGATGAAGTGAGTAGCCATTAATTGTTGTAGACCAGCTTCCCAAAAGGAAATAGTGAAAATATGTTCCATCCACTAGTGATCAGAAAAACGCAAATTAACAATAGGCAAAGGAACAATTAGTGCTGCACTGATGGTGCGAAGCTCTCATGCAGGAAGGAATAAGGGGTGTTTTCACAGTTTGGGGTCCTCAGGAAGCAGACCTTGAGTAAGAAGTCTATGGAGGAGTTCTCTTGGGATCCATAAATCTGTGAAGGAAGGGAAAGGAAGTGGGATTGGGCAGAGAAATAATTTGACCACGATGCACTCCCCACAACAAAATTCATTCCCTCTATGAATCCACAGGGACTTCTGGAGTTTGGTAGCCTCTCAAAGCTGATCCAGCTAAAGCAAGGCTTCACACCCTCAGACTAATCAGTAATTAGTTGTAGTCTGACAGGGGGCTCTGGTGGTGCTCTGATTAAGACATTGGGTTGCTAATTAAAGGGTTGGCAGTTCAAGCCCATTAGCCGCTCCGTGGAAGAAAGATACGACAGTCTGCTTTTGTAAAGATTTTCAGCCTTAGAAACTCTATGGGGCTTGCTATGAGTCAGAATTGACTTGACAGCAGTGGGTTTGGTTTGGTTTTTTTGGTTCCCAGAAAGAGGTATCTTGGGTGGGGCAGCTTTCTTCAGCCAAGGTGATTCTCAAGAGGCTCCTAACACCTGCAGGGGGTTCTAGGTGCATCCCAGCCGCACCACAAAGCTGTTATCATCTCCAAGGGAAACAGATTATAATCAGTCTTTTTGTTTAGGCTATAATATTAGCACTGACAGCAACACTTCTATCAGGTTATACTAAGAACACATAATGGATGCAGTTATAAAACTGAATCACAATGATGTTCAAGCCCTGCAGTGGATGCTTCCAGGGGTCTCCTGGAACTCTTCACAGCTAATAGTTCCAATATCTTAGCACAGTGGCTGCAACGATGGGCCCAGGTGTGGCAAGTATTGTGAGGCTGGTGCAGGACCAGGCCTTGTTTGGTTCTGTTGTACATGGGGTCGATAGGAGTCAGGGTCAACTCGACAGCACCTAACAACATGTTAGCAGCAAACTTCCTCTTTAGAATGAGCTTCCTACCTTATTCAAGGGTCTGGAAGCATGCTTAAAGCTATGTTCTTACCTGCTCTAAAATACCTAATATTTATTGAGTTCTTACCCAAAACCAACTACTACTCTAATAAAATGTTGTAACTGTAATAATAGCTTACATTTATATGCTGCTGGTTATGTGCCAGACATGCTCCAAGCTCTTCAGATACAGTAACTCATTTAAATCTCACAACAGCATAGGAAGTAGCTACACCACCAGCAGCAGCTGCCATCGAGTCGGTTCCAACCCACGGCGACCCCACGTGTGTCACAGTACAACTGTGCTCCTTACGGTTTTCAATGGCTGAGTTTGTAGATCTCCAGGCCTTTCTTCTGAGGCACCTCTAGGGAGAGATGAGCCACCAGCTTTTAGGTTAGCAGCCAAATGTGTTAACCATTTGACCACCCAGGGACTCCAGGAAGTAGCTACTAACTGCTATACTTACACACATGAGTAAGGTCCTATGCCAGTGCTGGGTTTCGAATCCAGGCACTCTGGCTTCTAAGCCCACTCTTAACTGCTGCTTTCATTGTCTCTCATAGTAAGAGATCAGTACAATAACCCTGTCTTAGTTTCTATAGAAGTGATAGGTACACAGCTATAGGTACTAACTATTTTTAAGGAAGATAATTAGGAATCAGAGACAAAATACTTGGTCTAGCTTTGCCAACCTTTGAAATCCGCTTTTCCATATTTTTTTGCCTTCTTCACTGTCAGCTCAAAGCTCCCTGATAAGTTGGTATGCTGGTAGACACTGCACGTGCATGTGTCTGCAGAGTTTACCTCCTCCTTTCAGTTGCCCTAATACATGACTAGGGAGCCCTGGTGGTGCAATGGGGAAGCACTTGGCTGCTAACCAAAAAGCTGGCAGTTCAAACTAACTCAGTTTTATGGGAGAAAGGGGTAACAGTCTGCTTCCATAAAGATTTCAGCCTTGGAAACCCTATGGGGCAGTTCTTCTCTGTCTTATAGGGTTGCTATGAGTTGGAATTGACTTGACAGCAATGGGTATGGGTACTTTATGACTTTTATGGAAGCCCCATTATCCTTTGGAACTAAAATGTTTTTTCTGTTTAACAGGGGTATTTCTTCCCTTGGATGGAATCTTAGCTCTTCTTTAATCTTATTGCTTTCTGTTCCTACGTAGGCTCTTGTGGGAAACAGTTCTATCATGGTTGGCAAATGTCTTCTATACAGGGGCAGAAGCTCTGGTGGTGTACTGCCTAAGGCACTTGACTGCTAACCAGAAGGCTGACAGTTCAAACTCACCAGCCACTCCTCGGAAGGAGGGTTGGGCAATCCACTTCTGTAGTAATACCACCTCAGAAACCCAAGGAGGGGTTGCTATGAGTCGAATCTGACCTGACAGCAGTGAGTTTTTTTTTAATATAGACGCTTGGGAAAAACTGTTCTTTTATGGTTGGCAAATATTTTCTATCAAGGGACAGAGAGTAAATGTTTTAGGGTTTGCAGACCACATATCTCAGTCGGAACTACTCAACTCCTCCCGGTAGCACAAAGGCAGCCATAGACAATACATACATGAATGGACATGGCTGTGTTCCAATAAAATTTTATTTACAAAAACAGGAGGCAGGTGGCCCATGGACTATAGTTTGTCAACCCCTACTTTATACCATTAACTATGACTTCTATTAACATACTCATTTTAAAAAAAATCATATGTTAAAGTGTCCATGGATACTTGGAGGGAAACAAGAAACTCTTGAGTGTTTCAAATGTGTCAACACTTCTTCCTCATACAGGAAAAACCTATGAAATTGACTTTTGGGCTACTGATGGCAAAGTTTAGCTTGATTCCAGAAAGTATGTAAAAAGATGGAGGGATGATTTTAAACTGATCCATGAGATAAAGTGGTTAGTTCTTGAATCCCATTCAGTGGTGTCTTTTACACTGTGTGTTATGTGTAGAATCATTGTTGTTTTCCTTCGTAGACATGCCAGTGACAACCACACCTGTGTGAAGACAAAACACAATGAGACAATGGCCATTTACTTTACCAGTGGGACAAGCGGATCTCCTAAAATGACTGAACACACCCACAGCAGTTTTGGAATAGGACTGTCTGTAAATGGAAGGTATTTCCATAATATGACAGCTTTAAATATCAAAACTGCAAAGGTGACAATTCATTTACTGGTCTTTTCTAATTTTTTTCCTATATACATCAGGGCTATTCTTTGTATTCCCAGGTTCTGGCTGGATTTGACACCCTCAGATGTGATGTGGAATACCTCAGACACAGGCTGGGCAAAGTCTGCATGGAGTAGTGTCTTTTCTCCATGGAGCCAGGGAGCGTGTGTATTTGCACATTATTTGCCACGTTTTGAGCCAACTTCTATCTTGCAAGTAAGGGAGAGCCCAAGAGGTCATCCTTTAGAAATGCATTAGCAGGAGCAGGAGTGATGAATACAGTTAACTTGCAGACATCAGAGTAGATAAAACGATTTAAGATACTCACATCTGGAAATTCAGTAAATCTGAAATGGTATACAAAGAAAAGGTGAGAACATTTAGATTAAAATAAATACATGTTGTCCTGTGCCTATCACAAACAAATTAAGAACTTATTATAGTTGTAGTAAGGCTAAGATTTTACTTCTTCTAAATTTCAGACACTCTCCAAGTTTCCCATCACCGTATTTTGTTCAGCTCCAACTGCATACCGAATGCTCGTACAGAGTCGTAAGAGTGGGTAAGTAATATTGATAAATTGGTACTTAGTAGGGAAAGAGGGAGGAATCCTGGTGGTGCAGTGGTTAAGTGTTTGGCTGCTAACTAAAAGGATGGTGATTCAAACCTATCAGCTGCTCCACAGGGCAAAGATGTGGCATTCTGCTTCTGTAAAGATTTATAGCCTTGGAAACCCAATGGGACTGTTCTACTCTGTCCTATAAGATCACTATGACACAGAATTGACTTGATGGTGATGGGTTTGGTTTTGGTTTTGGGTAGAGAAGGAAAAGGAAGCTCTAAAATAAAACATCTTTCTGCTTAAAAGCACAGCTCTCCAGACTTGAAAGTTCAAGATGCAGCTCTCTCTTCCTCTTCCTCCTGCTCCTTGCTAATATTCTGTAAATTATTATTATTGTGCTCACATGTGGAGAGCAAAGGGAGGATTCAGCCCAGTGGGTATGAATACGAAGCTGTTTAATCTTTTGGAGGATGGCTATTATCTGATCTGAGAAAGCAGTGAAGTTGCTCTTATTTGAAACATATCCCAACAAACAGAAAAGACTATGAATGTATTTTTATTACTGATTTCATTGGAAAGGGCAGATTGGTAAACATTTAAAATTGATTCTATTTAGTTTTTGACTAGAGAATACATTGTCATGACATAAAATTTGACAGGTATATTATAACATATAGTGAAAAGTCCTCCTTCAATCCCTGTGTCCAGTCACCTAGTTCTCCTTCTCCATGGAGACAACCAGTGTTTTCCACTTCTTACGTAACCTTTTTGAAATCTATGCATACATAAGCCAATATGCGTATCTTCTCCTGTCTTTTATACACAACATAACAGGCATACAGTTCTGTATTTTTTTCCCTAACAATATATCCTGGAACTGTGCTATCCAATATGGTAGCCACTAGTCACACATGACTATTTAAATTTAACAAAATTAAAAATTCATTTCACCAGCTGCCCTAGCCATGTTTCTGGTGCTTAGTAGCCACACAGGGCTCATGGGTACAGTAGTGGATAGCATAGCTTAGAGAACATTTCCATCAAGACAGAAAGTTCCTCTTGGACAGCACTGTCTAGGACCACCCTCATTATTTTTATAACTGTATAGTATTTCACAGTATAAATACATCACAGTCAATGTAAGCAGAGAATTGGTAAATTTTTTTCACTGACTTAAAATGGTGTTATGTGGTATTGTCCCAAGTTAAGTGGTGCAGAGAGTTAATACACTCTGCTGCTAACTGAAAAGGTGGGACTTCAGATCCACCCAGGGGCACCTTGGAAGAAAGGCCGGATGATCTACTTCTAAAAAATTCGCTATGGAAAGCCTTATGGAGCACAGTTGTACTCGGACACAAGAGGGGTTGCTATGAATTGGAGTCAACTAGTTTCTCCCTAAATTAAGCCTGAGATAGTATGGCTTTTCTTCGCAACAAATTACCTCCCCTAGAAAAAGAGAAGAACTAAACTAAAATAAAAAACTAATGTTTAGGATGTCATTTTATGATGTTAGTTTTTTTTTTTTGGTACTGCAGAGAGGAGCCAGGAAGGCAGGAAAACACACGGTTGATACTGAAAGTTCATTAGAAACAACCCTAATTTCCATTTCTCTCCATTTTTCTTCCTAAACCTACCTTATCTGTTTTCGGAGAAGCTATAACTTCAAAAGCTTAAAGCACTGTGTGAGTGCTGGAGAACCGATCAACCCTGAAGTGACCGAACAATGGAGAAACAGGACGGGCCTGGATATCTATGAAGGATACGGACAGACTGAAACAGTATACTGACCCCACTAAGAGACAGGCCTAGATTCAGTCCAGTCAGAAGCATAAATATCAAAGTGTCTATTTATGACTTGATGGCAGTGTGTTTGGTTTTTTGGTTTATTATACCTTTATGATTGCTTGAGGGACAGGGAAGGAACAGAGTGGTTAGAAGAAGAGTACATTTTAAAAGATAATCTTGAGGGAACCTAGTTGCAAGGAAGCTCTACAACAGATTAACAGATACAGCTGTTGTTTAAATAGCAAATACTGAGAAAAAACACTACTGCATAACTGATTCGGATGAGGGCATTACAATATTTTTCAAATGAAAAAACACTAGCTCTATAAAAAGAGTTTTCATCTTATGTCATAGGGTACTTTTACTCAGGGCTGCCTAGAAACAGAAAATTCTGAGTTTCTTGTTTCTTGAAATATTACTAGTTTGCTGGACAACTCCTTGGCAAACATACTTTAAAAGAGTTATTTAAAGAGCTCATAGAAATAATTAAGGAAAGAAGAAATTAATGAAAAACAATAAAGTGATTATAATGGAGGGAGGAGCCCTGGTGGCACAGCAGTTCAAGTGCTCGGCTGCTAACCAAAGGTCAGCAATTCAAACCCACTGGCTGCTCCACAAGAGGGAGATGTGACAGTGTGCTGCCACAAAGATTACAGCCTTGGAAACCCTGTGGGGGCAGTTCTACTCTGTCCTATAGGGTTGCTATGAGTTGGAATCAACTTGACAGCAATGGGTTTGGTTTGGGGTTTATAATAAATGTGGATAGCCACTCCTCGGAAGGAAGGCTGGGCAATCGACTTCCGTAGTGATACCGCCTGGGAAACCAAAGGAGTCACTATGAGTCAGGTCCGACTCACGGCACATAACAACAAAGTAATTATAAATTTATTATGTGCTATAACTTTATTATATATTTGTTGAATATTTATCTCTGTACTCCAAATAATAGAGACTTTTGTTTTGAGTCTGGTTTACATTTACTTATAATATTATCTTACTTTTTCTTCTTCTTCCTAACTAGGTGCTAATCTGTGCAAATTTTAAGGGAATGAAAATTAAGCCTGGTTCAATGGGAAAGCCTTCTCCTGCTTTTGATGTTAAGGTTTGCACATCTCCACACCCTACTCTTTGTTATGGTGGTTCTTGTTAGGATGACCTCAACTACCCTATGAAGATGGATAAGGGGATATGGGTTAGAAATATTAGGTGGTTGGTTTG